TACACTAAAATATTTAAGAACAAAGAATTAAAAAATAATTATTTGCTAGTCAGTGGTGATGCATGACTTTAATCCCAGCACTTGGGAGGCAGAGGCAGGTGGATTTCAGTGAGCTCGAGGCCAACCTCATCTACAAAGCCAAGGGCTATTATACTGACAAACCCTGTCTTGAAAAACTAATAATAATAACAAGTGATCTGGGTGTCCAGCCTCAACTGATATATCTATAACACAACTCCTGTACCTAAGTCTCAGGGAAAATCACAGAAGAAAGGAACAGAATGACTGTCAGAGGTAGAGGACTTGGGAAGTTGCTGTGAGATTGTTTCCTCAACAATATGGTTGCCTAAACAAGACCCGCAGAAACACACCAATAAACATGCTAACGTCGAAAGGGGAAATCTCCCAGGGCCCCATCCACATACAAAGAACAACAGGCAACTAAGGGATGCTAAGAGTGGGAGAAATAGTCTTCCCCAGGGATGGGTCTCCTAACTGGTTATGCAAATCCAAGTGGCCAGTCCTAACATCATATACGTATAAGTAACACTAACAGACTGAGCAGTTTATACTTACATATATTTATGTATATGTAACAATAACAACTAAAGAAAAAGAGGCCATGATTTTGGGGGAGGGGGTTTCTCTGTGTAGCCCTGACTGTCCTGGAACTCACTCTGTAGACCAGGCTGGACTTGAACTCACAGACATCTGCTTGCCTCTGCCTCTAGAGTGCTGGGATTAAAGGTGTGTACCACCACTGCCTGGCATAATTATAATTTAAAAATTAAAAAATTAAAAGTATTACAGCAACATATCATATATACATCTACATATATCTATTCTATATAATGTACATATCATATGTATATATATACATCTATCTCTTATTGAGATAAAAAAGAGAAAATAAGAGTATGCTAAAGCAAATGTGGATACGGGTGACATAAACATAAGATTTGGGGGTACTATTTTTTTGTAATCGTTTAAATCTGAAATCATTCCAAATTATAAAGTAAGAAATTCCCACAAGCATATAACATTTTAATTATTCCCTTCTAAATATATGTACATTGGTACTGTTGGGAAGGCTCAGTAGTTAAGAGTTTGTACTGATCTTGCAGAGAATGTGATTTGGTTCCCAGCACAAATGGCATTGGCTCACAACCACTTCTAACTCCATCCCCAACAGATCTGAAAGTTCTGACTTAGGAGGGCACCTGCAATCCTGTGTATAGACTGGCACACAAGCACACACACTGACACACTTATTAGGAATAATGAAATTAGTCTTCAACTGTACTTGATTTATACATATATGAAAAACAATTGGAATCAAATGTTCTTTTTTTACTTTATACTTTTATTATACTGAATCATGAGCAGTTTTTAATGTCATCTAAAAAAAATTGAAGACCATTACTGGAGGTTGGAGAGATGCTCACTGCTCTTGCAGAGGACCAGGGTTCCGTTCCCAGCACCTACCTGAGGTTCTTCACAGTCACCTGTAAGTCCAGGTACAGGTGAGCTGATGCTCTCTGGCCTTCTTGGGAACATGCATGCATATGGTACACATAAACTCACACAGGCACACACATATGCATTAAAAAAAAAGATTAATGTCCGGGAGGTGGGGGTACACACCTTTAATCCCAGCACTCAGAAGGCAGAGACAGGCAGACCTCTGTAAGTTTGAAGCCAGCCTGGTCTACAGAGTGAGTTCTTGGACAGACTCCAAAGCTACTGAGAAACCCTGTCTTAAAAAACAACAAACAAACAAAAGATTAATGGATACACAATATTTTTGTGGAGATAACATAATTTACTTAATTCATTTAGGTTATCCTCACATTTTTCTGCCAACATTTTATATCTCTCACATATAAATAATATTTTTATATTATTTTATTATATAATAAAAACATACTTTATATATACTTATCACACACACACTTATCTATACATTTGGTTGCTTCTTTGAATGATTGCACTTGTGCGGAGGTCAGACCCTGTGCAGGTCAAGGAATAACTTGGAGGAATCAGTTCTGCTCTTGTACCATGCGGGTCCCAGATCATCAGGCTTGAAGGTGAGAACATTTACCCACTGAGTCATCTTGCAGGCTGCTTTATTCTTTTAGTGACTATCAATACAAGGTCAATACATATTTACTTGTATGTCTCCCTTATCAGATTGTGAGCCTGTGGGGCAAGTGCTGTATATTAATCCTCTCTGTATTCCTAAAATTGGTCTCAGCATGGGTGTTTGTTAGGCTGAACTAGTTAGCCTACATCGTACCTGCTCAGTGACTTTTTAAGCCTTGCCTTCAATTTTCAGAAGCTAAAATAAGAATTCCCTTTGAGATGTGTAGCCCAGAACGGAACCTAGCCTACTGCCAACAGCTATGATCGTTTACATCCTTCTTCCCTCATCAAATGCTCCACGGAGTCACACATGAAATCCCAGTGTCTTGTAGAACAAATAAGCCCCAGAGCAGGCCAGAAGTCGCTGAAGCATCCCAAACTGAAGAAGGAACCTTGGGGCATCTGGGAGCTTGCTAGGCCAATTTAGTGGCTAAGATGTGGGTTGAGAAACTAACTATAGGGCTAAAATGAACACAGATAAGTTTTATGTTTAACTTTCAACAAAATTTATATACAATATATGCTTGTACACAAATAAAAAATTACTTATTCTTCTTCCTTCCCTTCCCTCTTCCCTTCAGTAAACTTATAATTTATTCACCAAATATTCTAGACCAAAGGGGCAGCACCGAGTTGGAGGGGAGGCGAGTAATAAAAACAAAACAAGACAAAAACAAAAAACCAAGAAGTAAAATTTGTTTGGCTTTGTGTCCGGTAGTGATAACAATTAAATATGATCCCCAGAATTTGGACTAGGCACCTGATGGATGATGACGCCATTGGTCATTATCCGCTCTCCTGCTTGGAAAGTTTGAGATGGGACTATTGTGTATTGCCTATGTTGGGCTCCAAACTCCTGAACAATAGGGATCCTTTTGCTTAGCCTTTGAAATAAACAGATGTACTGGTGGATACAAGCATGTCTGGCTTCACCTGAAGTTTAAAGAGCAAAGAAAATTCTATTAGGGATGATCCTAAACTCTCTGGGAAACATTCTTAGAATACTGGCTTTCTAAAGGATGCCGATGGGGAAATCTACCAGAATTATGATATACTTTGAAGTGATTGCAGAGTGGTGGAAATCAATACAAAATTGGGAGTGGGATAACCAAAACAATTTGGAAGGAGGAAGGAAGCAGGTCGGAGACAGGCCAGGAGCAGAAGAGAATAAAATGAGTAAGGAAGACGGGAAAATAGCCATGGAACGAAATGGTAGCAGACAACAGGATTTTTTTTTTTTAATTTGCTGATTGATTGACTGTGTGGGTGCATGCAGGCCTCCTGTGGTAGCTGGTTCTCTTCTTCTACCATATGGGTTCCAGAGATGAAGCTCAGATCACCAGCTTGGCCCTTTACCCACTGAGCCATCTGGCCAGCATATGACAAAAAGATTTCAATCAAACTCCTATCAAGCAGTCTTCATCAGCAACAGAGTTTGAAAAGGAGGGAAGAAGGTGTGAGGCAAGAAGAAACTGGTCCTGGGAACAAATGAATCATTCTCACGTAGTAGCTCCACCCTAGATGTCATGATTATTCATAAACACATGCAGGCTTTTCTGCGGTGTTAGTGAGCTAGGCTTGGAAAGGGCCGTGCGAATGCCAGGTTGGCAAACTGATCTGAATTAAAGGGCCCAATTCCAGATAGCAAATTTTATCAATAGTAACTTACTCGAAGCATGTTTTCTTAATATTTCAGAAAGGACTGCTATCAGATGGGAGACTGGAGGAATCACAGTCTACTTCCAGCGCTTCCTTTGATTGGATATACTTCACAAGTAAAATGGTGGTACCAAGGCACTAGACTCATGGAGATGTGAGGATGAATCAGAGTTTCCTCTGAGCCCGTTTCTGTCGTTACAAAAAGGGGATAGTGGTTTTTTTCTCTGTGGTGTGACTCAGAATGTGGCAAAGGCAGACTTGGGGCTGTGCAGGAACAGCTTTCATTGATGAGAGGAGAACTGCTAGGTTATATTTCTGGGGTGGCTGCTCAGTTATTACTTGAACGGTTCTTGAAGTCCTTGTGTAATTTTTCTCACGATTCGTTACTATTACACTATAATCTAAGTTAAGGGAAGACTGTTTATAATATTTTCATGCAGAAAATGCAGTGATTCTGTTTTGATACCTGCTATGCAGCAGAATGTCAAAGGGTCCAGTGTATTAGGCTCACTTTTCAGTGGAGGATTATATAAATGCATTAATGAGATTTTGAAACATTTCACTCAGACCAGGATGGACACACACACACACACACACACACACACACACACACACACACGGTAGGGGGAGTGAGGTGGGACAAACAAAAACAAATGGGTACAAATCAAGATGAAGAATGATGTTGTGTTAGGGTATTCTGGAGTCAACACAAATTGGAGCCGTAGGTTGGTCCTTTCATCCCTAACCTTCACAAGCAGCTAGTCGGGCAGGAGAAAACAGAGGTTCGAAATATTATGTAACTTGCCAGGGTCGTGAAACTATTCAGGATGTAACTGGAACCAATGGTATCAGGATCTGCCTGGCACCAAAGTCCTTGCTCATTTTAGCATAGCACCCAGAAGAAACAAACAAGCAAACAAACAAAAACATTGTATTTGGGAATTTGGGGGACCAAAGGGATTTAGAAAATTTTCTCTTTTCCTATTTCCCTTCTGACAGTCTTTTGTGTTTGGTTGTGACGTTAGCTCTAGAGGCTGGGCAAGATCAAACAGGAGGCATTTGTAAACAAAATTATTGCATAGCCCTCAGTACACCCACAATTTCCCTCTTTGAGAGTCTGACCTAGGGTGGTGGTGCAGAGGGCTGGAGAAGAGGTGGTGGCCGGGGTTAGGTTAGTAAAGGGATGATTCTTTTCTTACCTTTAAGTTGTTTATCAATTTCAGGCCAACCCGTTGCTTAATTCTCTTCTTTTGGTCAGCGTTTTATTTTATTTTTCCCTATTTGGGGGGGAAGGTTAAGGGTTAGGGGGTCCTGTAGCAAATTTCTGTAATGAATCTGCACAGTAGCTCCAAAAAAGTTAAGGTTAAAGATTATTCCTTTATCTTTTTTTGGGAAGGGATCGTGCATGTGTTTTGAAAAAGATAAAAAAGGAAGATTTGTTCTGGGTCACTCTCCTTTCATACCGACGCACGGAGGGGATTAGAACGGACCCCCTGTTTCCACGAGAAATGAGCCGAGAAAATTCCCTCACATTCCCGCTCGCGGGAGCGGGTTCGAGTGGCAAGAGCATTCACGTACCTTCCGGAGGGAAGAAAGGTGCTGGGGTCTGACG